GGCACACAACAACAACAACAATATGACCTTGCTTGGTGACATAGAAGAGAACTTAACAAATTTACTGATGAAAATTAAAGACCACAGCCTTCAGTATGGATTGCACCTCAATGTAAAGAAAACAAAAATCCTCCGTACTGGACTAATAAATAACGTCATAACAAATATATGATATTAAAGAAAAGATTGAAGTTGTCAAAGACTTCATTCTGCTTGGATCCACTATCAACACTCATGGAAGCAGCAGTCAAGAAATCAAATGACATATTGCACAGGCCTCTTTAAAGTGTTCAAGAGCAAAGATATGAATTTCAGGACTAAGGCACTCCTGACCTGACTCATGATAATTTTCAACTCACTCATATACATGTGGAAGTTGCACAGTGAATAAGGAAGACTGTAAAAGTGATGCATTTGAGTTAAAGTGTTGGAAAAGAACACTCCATGGACTGGAAAAAGAACAAACAAATCTGTGCTGGAAGAAGCATAGCTAGGGTGTTCCTTTGAAGCCAGGATGGCAAGACTTCAGCTCTCATACCTTGGACATGCTGTCAGGAGGGGAGGGACCAATTCCTGAACAAGAAGAACATCATGCTTGGTAAAGTGGAGAGTCCAGTGAAAAAGAGGAACACCCCAATGAGATGGATTGTTACAGTGACAACAGCAATTGACTCAAGTGTAACAACAATTATGAGGATGGCCCAGGACTGGGCAGTTTCATCAGTTGTTCATATGATTGCTCTAAGTTGGAATGAAGGCACCTAACCACCACTACCACAACATAAGGTGAACAACAATAGGGAGGTGTACACACTTCAGAATATTCAATGGTTTGAGATAAAAGGACAGCATTTACCATTTTGTTGTTAGGTTAATTGTGTAAATTTCCATTTACACTAGGAGAAAGTTCAGAAGGGTTAGGAAGGAGGGAGGAATGGAAACAGGAAATACTAGAAATGGAATAAGTGATGTTACATTGTGAGGATTGTAATTAATGAGATGAAACAAAATGTGTATGAATTGTTGAATAAAAAACTGATCTATGTAAACCTTGACCCAATTCAAAGGCAAATTCAGAACTTACTGTCTTTCACAGTTTGTTTAATTATTTGGCCTCTGTATGATTTGAATTAGTGCTCAGTAGAATTAAGTTCTCAAGTAGTCTGTCAGGGCTTTCCAAAGTCAGAGCTTTCCTGTATGAGACTTTCTGATAGTGTTGGTGTATCTGTGCCTCAATTTGAACCTTTTTGTTTCAGTTGTTAAGCAGTCTTCTCAGTAACA